AAAAATGCCAAACGAAGGCCACCAAAGGGGGAAACGCTGGTTCAGTTCAACCAGGCTACACAATGCTGGTGTGAACCCACCCTTTTATAATATTTTTTCAACTGGTCGAGGCAGACAGCCAACCACCTAAAGCTGGGGTCTGCTCAAGGTTTCTGCCTCTTAAAAGGAAGTTTTTCCTTGCCACTGTAGCCAAGTGCTTTCTCATTGTGGGAACTGTTGGGTCTCTATAAATAATTTATTAGTACTTTATAAGTAGTACAGTCTAGACCTGCTTTATATGAAAAGTGTCCTCAGCTATACAAATACAACTGAATTGAATTTAAAGCGACCCAACAGTTCCCATTACTGTACTGCCTACTACAGTAGGTCATTAATGAGAACTGACTTGGTCTATTCATGTCACAGAGCATACTTTATTCTCTGTGTACAGTTGTCTCAGGTGTTGTCCAAAGCTGCAGTGTGCCCTTTCTAGTCTGAATTAAAGCCAGAGATGATTAATCATGAGCAGCTGATTGTAGCAGGCCTCGATTCAACAATGTTCTTGTCCAGGACTGAATTATAGAGTGGACGTTCACACTGGCTGTGATTATTTTTATGCAAATTTCTACCATGATGAGATTATTGTTGCACAGTCTTGTACTCCTGTATTAGCAAGTATGGCTGCATCTCTTTATCTCATTCTACAATCATGCAGATGTCAAAGAATGAATCTGAGTCCGACAAAAGACTAAAAATATATTAGGTAGTGCACACAATATCATGAACATCTGTAACACATATTACACTATTTTATTTTCAAAGCGTATAATGCTGTGAGAGACACTATAGAGTTTTATCTAATCTATAAGTGGATGCTGAACTTGTTTTATAAAAAATGTGGGGGAGGGGAACTGTTGCATAATGTTATACTTCAGAGATCAGTCACTCAGTCACAGTAATCCATCACTGCAATAAACAAGTACTGACAGGTTTGTGTTGCAAAGTTGCATCAGAGTTGAAAGTTAATTTTCTGTTTCTCTGACTTCTGCAGATAGGAACTTATTGACAGCTGTTAACAGTTAAACTGCAACTTAACTATTATTTTCATTATAGATTCATTTGTCAGGTTCTTTTGATAATAATAATGACAATAATTAATGAGTCTATAAAATGTCCAAATATGAAAAGTGAAATCCTCATATTTGACATACAAGGCTTGACATTTTTGCCTGATGAATGACTTAATGGCAATCCATCCAATAGTTAGTGAAAATATCCACTTAAAAGCCTAGTGAATGTTTTCGCAGATACTTCAGATATAAACATTTCCTTATCATTTTGGAAAAAGAACATTGGAAAAGAAATGTTGTTTTTCCACAAAGTGTATTTGCCACATTGGAATGAAAATGCAGTTTTTAGGAGACACAGTTGCTGGTTGTATGTCAAATGTAATCAGATTATAAAAATAAGTAACCTGACGCGGACCTTGTTGACCCGGGCGACGTCCGAGCCGGTGTGACTC